GTTAAACATGGAAACATTACGATCGTGCGGTTTTTAGCACTAGGGGCCAAGTCTTTTGAAGAAGAAAGAATGAAAAGGGAAAACGTATTATAAAGACTATCGCAATAGAGTTTCCAATTCTTTGCGAAGAAAGCTAAACGAAACGGTGACACTTGTCTTAACATTTTACTCAATTCTTGTGACCAGTGACTACAGAGTCTCATCGTGTGTAGATGGCGTCTCGTGGCCCGTGACTATAGTCACCCGTAGTAGCGAAAGGGTTAAACAGGAACGAAGATTGGACTGGCGAATAGATGCAAATGATAACAGTTGCATCGAGACGTTATTTGCAGATGGTTATTTGATGACATCGTAAATTTCCTTTTATTTCCCCACCCATCGTTTATCTATTTCTTCTACTTTCTCCTGATCCGAGTGGCGTTGCGCCTTTATGGCCAAACGGAGGTTTACGATCGACAGTTATATTACACGGCGAAAGATCACCGAGATACGATTGTTTCTATGGGGAATGCCGGATAATTTAAGCATCGGCGATTATTGGAAAAAAGATCGATGCTCACCTGTCGGCCGTGTTACGGATCGTCTTCTTTACCTACGTGCCTCCGCCGCTTTCGTTCCGAGCGTCGTAATCGCGGAATTTATTGCTGCTCCGAAAAGACGGGGAAAAATGGCGCGATGCGCGCGGATGAAATGAAATCATTTAAAAGGCGCTTGCGAAATGAGAAATTGCCGCGTGTAATTTACAATCTTAGATAATCGATTGCGAGGATGATCCTGTAAAGACGCAACAACTGCGAACAATTAAATATCCACACAGCTCCTATCTTATTAACCAGCGTCGATAAATTACCTGGAACTCGGGTGTTACGAAATCTCATTTGCTGGAAAAGAAAATGGCGGAGGGAAATAAAGCGGGTATAATCGGCATAGTTGGAGCAACGAGCCGTTCTTAACGACGCGAACGAGAAGCAGATCCAACGTTCGAAGTCGCTGACTTCGAACCGGACGCGGATCCACGATTAATAGAGAGTTAATATTTCCCCTGTAATGCTGCAACCCCGTGACAAATTCGATCGCCGAGCGTTCCCCGATTTATCAACGATACTCGAGAGTGGCGAAGCAGACTCGGACGATTAACGATGCCGGTGTTCGAGGACGTCTCGAGTAATCAGCGACGGTGCCGTGCAGGGTGTCGCGTCGGGGGTTGGAGGATCGAGTGGAAGGGCGCGAAGAAGATGGCGAAAACGTCGGGGGAAAAGGGTGGCTGAAGAAGGCGAGGATCGTTCTCGGGACAAGACCGTGTAACGAGTGGAGAATCGCTCTCGTCACGTACAAAGGAATCGCTGCTGCTCGGCGTCGATAATAAATATATGGGGACTGCCGGGACGGCGCGGGACGTCGACGCGGCCGCGAATCGAGCGTCGCGACGCCGAGCGGGTTGCGCGCGAGTGGCAAATGTCCCGGGACAGTGATAATTCTGCAATTTATACGGGAACGATCGCGAATCGAATATTTTTATCGTCCGGTGTTACTCGCTCGGAGGGCAAAACGTTAATAAAACAATGCGGTTTTTAAGGAGGAAAAAAGCACGAACAAACGATATCGCGTTAATGACTCGCGACGCGTGACGTTTCGCTTTTTAACGCTTCGTCCGCTTAATGGTTCGTATGCAAAATAACGCCGCGTTACATAAAAGAATAAAAATCCCGGACGAGTTTGAATTTGGACCGTGTCTGTTTCCGTTCATGCGTCCGTTTGCATATTCCTGTTGCAGAGTAAACCGAAGTGACTTGTGTATATTTTTCATCGTTCAATTCCAAACATTTTGATCGTTTGTCTCGTTAATATTCACATATATACGTTGCGATTAAATATCGCCGAGACGCAAAGAATAATTATCCTTCCAGTTGACGTACGTACGTACATCTAACAAGCAGAGTGCAAGGCCTTCGGGTAGTAGATTTAGTTGAAACCTTGCGGGTTTGTAGATTTAGTCTTCCAGTTCAAAAAAATGTATCATTGTAAGGGCAACTAGTCGATAGTTTTCGAGATATTTATGATCGGAGTTTTATTATTGCTTTAATTTCAGATTTATTTCAAATATTTATCAAGTACCGTTAGGCTACAATACCACTTGATAACTATCGATAACTATTCGGAAGAAATCTCTGGTTAAGAATAACAAAGCTTTAATCATAAATATATCAAAGGCGCTAAATCTATGACTCGAAGGACTTGCACTCTCCGTGTACTCGACGGACAAGGAATGAAAAATAACCCGCCGATGCGAAACGTCCACAGGATTGAGACGTAACGCTCGATAAGGAAGCACGTAAATCCGAGGCAACTTGATCCGATGAATACGCGAACGGGGTAAAATACGACGCGTCGCGTCTCTCCGAAACGTGATGGACTTGGACCGATGGTACCTCGGAGAAACGCGAAAAGGTGCAAAGAGGGACGTTCGGATGGTGGATGGAGGCAGCGTACAACAGGTTTATCGTGGCCAGTAAAACGCTATCTGATCCCCGAACTATAAACGTTGGCAAATTATCGCGGGAATTCGCTTGGCGGGAAGCGTACGCTTCTAAATCAAGCTGCAGAGTTCGAGCGGTGGTATCCGGCCGCATCGAGGAGGATTACGGCGCGTGTAAATAAAAGGTGGCATCGACACGTTCGCCGTGTTACGTGAAAGCGTCACGAAACGTATTCTCGAGGAGCGTAGATCCTTTCGGCAGATATATTAAAAAGTCGTAGCGGTAAAGTGTATTAATTGCCGAGCGAAGCGAAAGATTACCGGATGAACCGGCTACTCCAGCCGAACAAAGGTAGCCGGTGTGTATAAGTACGCATTACCGTTATGTCGGTCCACGAATGATGGATGGATAGGGTGTGTGGAGGAACGCTATCGAATTCTCCACGATGTTCCGCGAAATACGCCTGCGAGAGTGGAGCCTCTGTGAAAGGTTTAGGAACCGAGTGTTCCTCGTGCTCCTTTTTCGCCGCTCCTTCCTACGAGCTGTTTGCTCGTAAAATGTTTACCCTTTTTCGTCCGAATATTATTATTCATAGATTTGCCGACGACCGTCCTCTTGCGTGTACGAATAGCTGCGAAGGATATATTCATCCGCGGGTTATCGTATGATAGAATATATACATGTATATATACAGACGCGTGAAGAATGAGTTGAATGACTCCAAGATTGCCTTCGCGCATCGGCTTTTGGATAAATTGCCTTTTTCGACGAATTTTCGATACTCGTATCGGTCTTCGAGGTATTTGCGCGTCGAAATGTCAGGATTCTTTTCCACGCTAAATTTACCACAGCCTAAATGACTGGTTTTCAAATTTTATAATTTACCGATCGCGTAGAATTTGTCATTTTGAGGAAGACGAATTTTAATTTACCGTAGAGAGGTTATGTCTGACTAAAAATAATCGAAAGGTGGTAGATTTATCAGAGTTTATTATACGCCGTTTTGACGCTAAATTTACCACAGCCTAC